GTGTTAAACTATGTAAACGCGCAGTGGGCTTTAGGAGCCCACAGCAGTACCGCCTGCATTGATCATCAATGATTGATCAATTACCAGATCCACATTTATTTTCAATTCTAACAGTCCACATCTAGGCAAAAGCGTCACATATCAGAAAGGCACGGGTGGCACTCGAATCCGGTGTGTCATTTTGCTCAAAAATCAGCCAAGAAGAGCGAAAAAGCGCCTCGGTAGGTAAAGGAGCGATAAGCATCATAGCGAACGCTGGAATTTTCTTATAAGGTCACCTTACGAGAAATAGCAAAACGCTAGAAGAGCGAAGTCACGCGCGAGAACGTTCGTACCCAAAAGGGTGCGTCTTAACATACCCTCCCCTTCAAAAAGCGAGAAAGTGTCGGGTGCAGACCAAACACCACAACTGACGACGGCCTCCAAGTAAATCTGGTTAGAAGTGGTTCATAGTGATAGCTGATTTTTGGTAAATGATAGTTGTAATTAGTGACAACTGATAGAATACAACTGCAACAGGCTAATCATTTCATTGGCAGAAAACATTTACATTTTGTGGAGGCCGTCGTCACTTGTGGTGTATGGTCTGCACCCGACACTTTCTCGCTTTTTGAAGGGGAGGGTATGTGGAATTGATAAGTATAGCAGCGGTCGTAGAGGTCAGCAAAAGCACTGGCTACCTTGTCGCGTACTTTTGTTGCAACAGTACCACCACCCTTGTGATCATAGGGTTTTGCTATAATACCTCGATCAACGAGAGAATTGCTTTCAGAAGTTGACGTGGCCCGTGCCTTTAATGCTACTTTTGACATGAACAGACTCAAGGGCGATCACATGCGCTCGTTAGAATTCCTATATCTTTCCATTCAAGTCTGATTCCAAGAAGACATTCCGTAGACGGAAAATCCATAAAGCAGGTTGGAATCGCCAATAGTGCCGACCTCACACCTCGGCCCTACATCACTTTTGCGCTCTGCTACACTAACAAATCGTTAATCTAGCTTGACTCGATTCCTTAGAAGATCATTTGACTGTCATCGGAGTTCAAAAATCAATTTTTACTGAAGGCTCGCTTCAAAGTCTATTTTCCAGACGCGACGTCGCACTCAAGAAGAAATCATTCGTATACGAAAATCACTGCAGGAAGTTCATCTTCTCGACTCGAAAACCGAAAAGCTTCCGCCCACGTCAAATAAACGAAAGGCCCGTCGGATGACCAGCCACCCCGATGCCGGTTTCGGCATAACTACCACAGCTTTCCAACTCCGTGAGAGCTCACTAAGTGCCTCTCGCCGGACGACCAATTAGCACCCCTTCCATTCCTCCTCACTTTCGCGACGATCGTGCGCCTCCAGGCCGCCTACAGTCCCGTATTTACACCACCGAATCGTAAAATCGCGACATTTGCCACCGCTCCGCTCATCCATCCCACTCTGTGGCCATCTACAGAGGTTACCATGAGTCAGCACGCAGTTGGCCAACAAACCCAGTACGCACTACCGAACACCAATGGGGCCCATGGGATCATCAGTGAATCGCCATGATTGACCAAAGCTTAATCCACGCAAGTTATGTAAACCAGTAACCAAAGTAGGAGCCGAGTACACCCGGAATTCACACCAGCGGGTGGACATGTGTCAAGCTATCTTGAACAGGGCTCGGCGTAATCTCATTTAGCAGAACCGAGCAATACTTTCTGAATGAGTTACTACGACTGGTCAAAGCTCATCAGGTAGCAATCGATGGCATCAAAGAGGAGAATGAGGCTAGCAGGACTCCAGTGGAAATGTTGAGGGCCAACAGACCTGAGGGAAGAAACAACTACGGGGAGGACCAGACGGCCTTCTCACAGCATACAAAAGAGCTGCAAAAACGAATTGAACTCGACAAAATGCGGTTAGAGAAGCAGCGACAAGAATGAAGTATTCCAGCAAATTCGTGGACAGGCAAGAGGAAGAAAGAGCAAAGCAACAAGAGATAGCCCGACAGACCGAAGAGAGGCTAAGGAAAGACAGGCAAGAATGGGAGAGACTGCAGGAAAAGATTCGTCAAAACGAGGAGATGCAAAAGAGGAGAGATGGAGGAGCTGGAGAGACAGCGACAAATTGCACAGCAACTCGAAGAGATGGAAAAGAATGAGAGGAAAGAGAGAGAACGGCAAAAAGAATTAGCACGAATCATTGAAGAGGACCGAAAGAAAGAAATGGAGAGAAGAAGGCAACAGGAAATGGCTCGACAGATAGAAGAAAAACAAAAGAAGGAAAGAGAAGAATTGGAGAGGCAGCAGCGAATCGCCTGGGAAATCGAGGAAAAGCAAAAGAAGGAAAGAGAAGAGCTAGAGCGGCAGCAGCAATTTGCGCGTGAAATCGAGGAGAGACAAAAGAAGGAAAGAGCAGAACAGGAGAGACAGCAGAAGGTTTACCTACAAATTGAGGAGAAGAAAAAGAAAGACAGGGAAGAACGAGAAAAGAAACAGAAAATAGCTCAGCAAATCGAAGAGAGGCAAAAGAAGGAAGAAGGAGGAGCGTCAGCGAAAGCAGAAAATAGCACAGGAGATCGAAGAGAGACAAAAGAAGGAGAGGGAAGAAAACGAAAGGCAGCAACAAATAGCTCGACAGAATGAAGAGAGGCAAAAGAAGGAAAGGGAGGAACGAGAGAGGCAAAGAGAAAGGGAACTCGAGGAACAAAAAAGATTAAGAAATTTGGAGGAACAACGTCTCGAAACCGAGCGGATCAGACACGAAGAGGAATGGAGAAGGATGGAGGAACTGACACGAATTGAAGACCGATATGGTATAACCGCCGGCCCAAACAACAGGAGAAAGAGGTAAATACAAGAATTTGACAAAATTCGCAAAATTTCAGTATGTTATTTGGTTTTTCAGGAGAGGAACCTCACGCTGGTATTGCTGATTACGGTAGGAATATCGAGTATCCGAATGCTCAACATGCCAGAAAGGATGAACTCGCATAATGGGTTAGTTCCAATGAGATTTCGGAGCCTAAACCTCTATGGAATGGAGAAAAATTTGTTGGTTAGCCCAAAACCATTCGGCCTTCATTGAAAACTAGATGTCCGCATAACGTGACAACTCTGCACGTGGTGACGGAGCGGCATTAGCTCAAGGAGTACGCACAACGTTCATTTACAAAGAACATTCAGCACACTACTACATATATGTTGAGGCCTACAGCCGGGCGCACAGTACATGGGAGAACCCACCATGGTTGAGTACTACCAGTAATTCGCACACGCCCTCAAGAATACGACGGTCGATATAAACTAACACTGCTACCCATTACGGTTTTCATACTTTCATATTGAAACAATTCAGCTACTGGTAATAACACACTCAAATTATGAGAAGATCTCGATGGATAAGAGATTGCAAGTACCTCTTACAATAACCCACGAAATCCTTTCCATAACACCACCTCTCTATCAAGGTCTGGGCGAGGAAAGTAGTGTGATGCTAGACGCCATTCGGTAGTTGATTATTACGTGAGAATAAAGGCAGAGTTCACGATGAAAAGGCAGAGCATTAGAAGAGGAGGGTAGGGGCGGGTAGCGGTGCAGAGATGATGAAAAAAACATGTGTCATAAAACCCAAGACATCGGACCCTTTTTTGTTCTTTGAATTCCGCATTGATGAGACTCTCATCGGTGCTGCCCTCCTCAACACTAACAGCAGCATCCTGGTAAAACAGCTAGATGTTAGGACGGCAAGAGGGTAGGCGTGACGCGGTCTCAGGAAGACCGAGTCCGGACCCTGGAGCTCTTTGCTGCCAAAATGCTGTATAATCCCTCCCCCTCGCTCAACAGGGGCTCGCCTGTCTCTCGACTTGATATAATTCCCTTTTCTCCGACGTTATCGCGGGATCCTCCTTCGAATTCCGACCAGGCTAAGCAAGTTTTTGTAGAGTGTTCATTGCCAGTAGATGCATGAAGGACTCCTAAAATCTGTAATCCCTTCTGCAGCACCACAGGAGATTTTACAAAGTTTGTAAATGCAGCACAGCATCAAAAAGCTTGCGAAATATTGATTTCGCTGAGATTATTTCCATGCAGGCAACCGAGTCCTGCAACATGGCAAGCGTCCGGGAGACAAATCTGAGTAAATTTAGAGTGCGTGGGCGTATTCAAATGTTCGGTCAGTCCAAGTATCACGAACTTGCTAAAAAAAATACCTCGTATTTCAGAGTGGAGTCAGCCATTGAATCGAACAACATCGTCTACTTCACCAAGACGCCTTCCACGACTCCATCAGCGTTTGTTGAATGGGTAACGAGTCCGCACTCATGGCGTCCGCCACCGGATCCAAATTTGAATCAGCCGAAGTGGATCGAACTACAGTAAGCCTAAAAATAACATGTACAGGTGTCTCTACCTAAATCAGTTTCCTGAAATATTACAGTGACGATTCCACGCTGTTTTCGCTTTTCTAGCCGCGTGGGCGGTGTGGTTTCAGCCGAGCACTTGCTCAAACTCGATAGCGCACGCTTATGGGCTTCCCCAGCAATATGGTTTTTTGACACGTCTGAAATTTAAGCGAACCTTGAGTGAAATCTAGTCTAATTCAGTGGAAGCACTACAGGAAAAAAAATTAAAAAAAAAAAACGGAAGAAAGTCGCGCATGCACGAACAAACGGGTCACAAGAGTGTGACCCATTAGCGTTCCACGCCGTCCCATGTTGAGCGCAAAGTGTGATACGATGTTGGACCACGCTATCGTCAATGTCTTGAAGTGTTGATCATTTTTTAACTTTGCAGACGACCGAATCGCCGTCGAGAGTAATCGCCGGGTGTGCGCTGAGCGAGGACTGCCCTTTCAACTATGAGCAGGATCTTCTTTGTGCTCATCCGCTAAAGTATATATGAGACATGATCTACCAACACAAATTCACTCAGCTGATAGTAAGAGACACCCGAAAACAAAATACCAATATGTAGCATTATTTTGATCGATCTTTCATAAGTTCCGCAATAGTAGAGGTGCCTCTCGAATCAGGTTCTTATCGCTGGTGGGTGCCTCCCACAACCCGACCTAAATCAAAGGATTACAGTCAATGAATCAGGGGCCTCATTTGCAGTGCCAAGCACATAACTTGAGGAAGGCACGCTGTCCATGGAATCAAACCCTTCAGAAGAGGAGAAACACTTTTTTGCTTCAGAATCATACTATATTGTAGAAAATTGATTAAGGGGGGAGCAGGAATAGACTTGCACGCTATATCGATCAGAGTGGATTAAGAACGTTAAAAATTAACTAAAATAAAATAAAGTAAATAAAATTAAATAAAATAAAATAAATAAAAAATAAATAAAATAAAATAAATAAAATTAAAAAACTATGCAGATGGCTGGAGACGGGTAACCGGGAGACACATATTGTGGGTATGGGTACAGTACCTCCCATAACTTTGTTAAAAAAGACGCGGAAGACGCGGATCCGCGTCTTTTTCGTCTTTTTGCTATAATTTGATTTCTGATCGCTTTCGACATGAAAAACTATACCATTAGACTCAGCTCGTCGAGTGCTATTAGAATGTCCTCTCAGATTTCAGAAAATTTCATTTTTCTATTCCAAAGTACCTGAGGCTACTCATTAGCGAGCGTCGCTCGCTATAATTACAGCCAGAGACAAACAGCTTCCACTAGTATTCAGCAAGTCTTTTCGCTTATTTTTCGCTTCAAAGATGCAACTTCGTTCCAAAAATGGATTTCAACAAAGTTGACTTAAATAGGGAATATCAGGTATCAAAATGATCAGCATCACCTGAAGAACACGTTAGTCACTTTTTTCATACTATTTCCAAAACAAAAAAGAAGCGAAAAGGCTTGCTGAATACTAGTGGAAGCTGTTTGTCTCTGGCTGTAATTATAGCGAGCGACGCTCGCTAATGAGTAGCCTCAGGTACTTTGGAATAGAAAAATGAAATTTTCTGAAATCTGAGAGGACATTCTAATATAGCACTCGACGAGCTGAGTCTAATGGTATAGTTTTTCATGTCGAAAAGCGATCAGAAATCAAATTATAGCAAAAAGACGAAAAAGACGCGGATCCGCGTCTTCCGCGTCTTTTTTAACAAAGTTATGGGAGGTACTGTGTATAATTTTGAAGTTGCATAAGTTATCAGCATTCAATAAGTACCGACTGGAAATACCGAAAAAAAAAGAGGAAATTTATACTGACCAAGCCATCGGTGTAAACTCATTCCACTATTTGCGGGCAGAGTACGCATAATGCGCCTTCTGCGACTTCGTAATGGAAAACAATTGGCATGGCGGCATAATGGTGAAATTTTATATGATGGGATCATCACCATTTCAAACTCGAATATACTTCACTGTTATTCGCTAGCGATAGCTGCTATCAGGGCTGAGGGTTCTACCATAATGTGCGGCAGAGTTACCGTTTCCGCTTGAGTAGTACAAGGTTGTGAAAAAATTTCATAGAGGCCCTCATCTCAGTATCACACCGGGACCGACCAGAGCATCTTATCCCATCATAGTCTTACTTTACCTCTAGCGTGTCGTGCACGCAGTATAAAGATGAAGCGAGGCTATGAGTTCATCAACGGTGAGCCCTTCTGGCATTGGCGCCACGATTCTACATTCATGTTCCAACTTCGAAGAGCAAATTGATGAGTTCGGGATTGTTTGCGTATGCCTGGACATGTTAGGACCAGCATTCATGTTGGTTGTTTGCGTCGCTCCGCGCGCTCCTAAAAACAAAATGACCATCAGACGCAGGGTAGGTGCTGTGGTTTGTAACAAAGCGGGAGATTTGTCCGCGAGATTCAACCCTTAGGCGGTATTCGATCCGCTTCGCGCCAGGGGGATGTATCCGCCCCTAACTCTGTATTCAATTCCTCTGGAGGAAAAAAAAGATTGCGTATAGGAACCAAGCATACCTTGCTTGTGTTTTCTACCTGCCAATGACAGTTAAGAGCAGCGCGAACTCCTCAAGGGGAACGAGTGGCCTTCACCAGTGGAGGTCATATATCGCACTGCTCTCACTTGTCTGGCAGGTAAAACACAGAAAGGTGTGCTAGGGTCCTATGAACGGCAATCCTTTTTTTGTCCGAGGCAGAGGAATGAATTAGGGTAAGTGGCTACATCGCCGGCCTGGGGAAAACGATTCCGCCCCCGTCGCGTGCGCACCAGCCCTGAAGAATATCCGTAACCTGTCTCTCGCAAAAATGAAACAAAATTTGATATTTCCGATTGGATTTTTGGGATATCTTGCGTGTGACCCCCTCTATTATATAGGCGTTCCATCTCCGACACCGAATGAGACCAGCCAGTCTCGCCACTGTCGCAAGCCTACGTAGGCCTTACTAAAATCCCAGACGATCTACCGTCTACTGGTACTTTACAGAAAGAAAACCGATAAAAACAATGAAAATAAAAATAACCTTCATTAAATGGCGTTGTGATTTCAGCGATCCTTCGCGATACCTCCAGTGCACGCCGATGATCGGAAGACGTGGTCGTTGGATGGAAAGAAACTGCCCACCATCGCTGATTTTATTCAGTCGCTATCGACACTGGGAAGCGGATATGTGTGAGTACTAAGTTCAATTGGGAATTAATTTCTTACTTGTGGTCAAGTGAATAACCGGAGAACGAGCAAAGAGAAAGAGTCCAAAACATACAAAGAGACTAGCCTATTATAATAAGCCACTTTATTTGATGATCTCAGCACCAAAATACTACTACAGCATATTTCACTTTTGCAAAAACAATTTTTTAACTCAGGTTGACGTTACTACGTCCCCTTACGAATGGCGAAACACAGCGCTGATACCGCGTCTACCGTCCGAAACAGAGATCGTTCGTTGGCAAGGAAACCGGTGAGATATTTTTAGCCAGCTCAAGTTATTTGAAGCCATTAGTTGACCGAAAGTCTCACTCTCAGATGCTTCCTGATGTTTATTGGATAGATTCACCAGAAGATTTGTAACAAACAGAGGTGAACAGCCGCGGTCCCCCTAAAATAATTTTCAATTTCAGATAGATTTCCAAATTATATGTGCCCATTTTCTTTGAGATATTCTCCATATCGGGGCGGAAGTGGTGTAGTGGTAAGTGGCGCTGCTTCCGCATTCTCGCACGAACTTTCGAAGAATCACAAATCCTGGTTCGTGAGTCGCTCGGACCAACCAAGCCTTCCATCCCTCCGGGGTCGGTTAATTGGTACCAGACTTGTCTGGGAGGATAAAAACACTGACTTGTACATCGGCTGGCCCCCGCAAGTCATTGTATAGGCCACATCGCATTCAAACGCCACTACGAATGTACAAATGGAAGTAGAATGCGTGCCGCATCCCAAAAAGGGATTGATCAACGGCAAATGCTTTATCCTTTTTTTATTTATGTGAAGAAACTTGCTAATAAGCATAAAAACAAGAAAACAGTTCAGTTCCTTCAAATTAAACCTTTCAATTCAGATAGACGTTTTGTTAAATCATGACTGCCCATTTTCTTCGAGTTCTCCATTTGACTCCTTTTCAGTGAGCTGCCATCGTCAGCTGTCGAACCCTGAGCCTCCATCAGTCTTTATGACACCACCACCGAATACTATTTATCAAACGATCGAGTCATTCCCCCAGGATCTTAATCCATTCAATCGGAACACCATTCATCCTGCACATTATGGAACTGAGGTGAGAGCTTGTTCAGTTTCGAAAGGGAAAAGCATCAGTTCAAGGTAGCTGAATCAATGAGTTTTTCTTAAAAGCAACCCCGGGATAAAACTGGTGACAAGAGAAGAGCGCTTCGTAGTGACGGCTGAGCTGTGGGATGGCCTGAAAAAGTAAAGCTAGAGAACTTTTTGGGATCAAGGAAATAAGGCCTTTAACCTTCAAAAAGGTCGGATGTGGAACGATGGCGAGGCTAAGGGCGGTCAAAGAAGACAAAACACGCGAGAGATTCACGCCGTTTGAGAGAGCACGCCGATATCGAGGTGGGTGGGAAGCGTTGCAACGGGGGTCGATGGTTGCAGGCCCGTAAGGATTAGCGCCCTAACCGCGCAATTTTGCGGCGAAAGCTGGAGTGATCTAGGTAGGTAGGACCTTACAATTTCCCACGCGGTATCCTTCCCACAAGTCCGGCTAACCCCGGGGTTAGCCTTCAAGAATGCCTGCACTGACTACATAGAATGGTAAGTCTTTTATGAATCGACGGCGCAAAAAGGTTAAGATATCCCGACATCAGGTGCTCTAATTTCAGGATGTCGAAATCGCTCCATCAGTGATTGATCCACCTTTCCCTCGTGTTGAGCCGTATTTTAGTTCACCATTTGGCAAACAGAGAGATGATTCCGTTGAAGGTGACTTCATCGGTGGCTTCATCAAACCAGTGATCAAGAAGGTAATCTTAATCAAAGCGGCCAGTTCAGGGTGGTCGGTACAACTCCTCAGTATAGCTCCTTCAAAATTCAGATTGCAATGGATCAAGCCGAAACGTTTCTGGATCAGATTCTCTCCGATGAAGCGATCAAGGAAGACAATGCCAACACTCAGAGGCACCCATCAACCTTGTCCGAAGACAGTTGGAGGGTAAAAAGCGGTTAGGCACAGGTTGTTGAGGAGAGCTAACTCGCCGTTCTAAACGCTTCATGCTAGACTTTGAGAAATGGAATTCGTAAACACCCGGTCCTTACATTCTACTCAATTACTGTTCACTTTTTTGGTTTCTGTGTTAGTTGAGCTGCTTAATTCAGAGGAGACACCTCCACTACTTTGAGTTATCTTTATCCGTCTGTCATTGATTGTTTTCCTCAATTATCTGTTTACTATTTCACATTTTTTGGACCACTGTTGTCAGCGTTGATCTCAATTGCATAAATATAGTAAGTACTTATAAATATAGGATGTATTCGCCAACAGCGGTATACTACACACCGGGAGGTTTCTGCCACATCGTCATTGCATGATCTGTGGAACCGACTCCGTTTAAACCAAATAGACATTCCATTACCTAGGAATGCGCTTGGTGGTGTCATACATATCATACATGAGCGGAACAAGTTAGTGAGGCCTGTCGCGCGCCCAAGGGCAGAGACGCAGAGTTGGGCTGGCTAGTTGTCGCACCTGCTGCTGCAGTTTTAGCGTCAAATCAATTAGGTCACAGTAGGTCACATCACACAAGGTTGATTTCACGGCGTGAAGTCAAAACTT